GGGTCTTTTCATTTTTTTCTTTCTTTCAATGTGGAGTGAAAAAAAAAGCTGAAGTAGAATTTGAGGTCCTACATGTAAAGGAACACAAGGACTTTTCATTTCTCCTAGGTTCTTAGTAATGTGTAAAACATCTAATTTTAAAATGCCTACATCTTATCGAACCCAGAAGTTATGGTAGTTGTTTTTGAGTGGTTTTAAGGCCTCATAGTCTTTATTCTACCCCTACTTGGACTGGGGGTTGGTGGAGGAGTCCCAGTCTCTCACAGTCTCTTGAAGATCCACATCTTGCAGCTCCATCATCTACTAAATGTAGCCTCCAAGATTTTCTAAGGAATGACAGAGTATTGGTACAGCGCCAATGGGAATTACTATGCTGCATTTGGGCTTACATCTCATGACAAAAATCCCACACTTCATCTTTCTGCAAGGGGGCTAGAAAGCCTAGTTTTGTTCACCGTTTAGGAAGGAAAAGAGTTGGATATGAATGAGATTGAGCAGTTACCACAACAGCAAGTTTGGGGTTTGAGGTTATTTTGGTGGTTGTGTCTTTGGAAGCTGTGTATATTGTGTATCCTTCCAACTTTGAAGCTGCCTTCTCATTTGAATGATCATGAGTTGAATGAAATTCAAATAGACCCTTAACCCAAGTCTACTATTAGGTAAAACAAACAAACAGAAGGACTTTGGATGTGGAATAAACTGTCTTAGAAGCCTTTGTGAGTGTTCTAGTTTCATTCTCTTTTAAAGTTGCTCTTTATGAAGGCGTGTTTGTTTCATCCCTGAAGAGGAGTCAAATAAGTCATAAACATCATTTAGTCTGTGACAATTTTCAAATGGCTCCCTTTCCATCAAGTGTTTTCCTCTCAAGTGTTTCTGTCATTATAAGATTGGAAAAAAACCACTTGATTTTAAAAATTATTTCTGGCACATCAAGTGGCACTTGGTGTTTTGTCACAATCTTGAAACTATTTCTAAAGGCCCACATAAAATATGGCATAGTGGTTGGGGACTGTTAGCTTAGAACTTTTAGAAGCACACCTCACTATTGTAACTGGTTGTAATTCCTGGGTGCTGACATGAAGATTAATAATGTTTGACTCTGATTTTGGCAATTTTTGGCAATTTCATTGCTACAGTCCTTTCCTTTCAAGTTATTACCTGGAACTTAAGTGATAACAAATGTTTTATTTTATACTGCAATATAAAAAGTTAAGTTTTCATATGTTATATGTTTTTATGGACACACAGCCAGGGACATGACACAAACATACACGAACACACAAACACACACAACTGAATCTGAAGGACATGAGTAATTCTTCAAACATGGAAAGCTATTACTGGTTTAAACAGTAGGTGACTAGGTCTCCTTTGGTTAACTAATATGGGAAAAATAGGAGTTCAACCGTATGGGTCTTTGTGAATTGACTGTATCACACAATTTTCTTTTTTTTGGGGGGGGAATGATAGCACTCTTTACTTTGCCAAGTATTATTATTGAGTCAACTGCCAAAGTTTAAGAGAGAGTGTCAAAGGCTCTTAAAATTATTTAGTGTTGAGTGAAGGGGCAAAGAAAGATATTCTACATTCCCAAGCAATTCAACTTTGATCTTTATACCTGATGTTGGTCCATGACTTAGACAGGAAGGCTTTCCTAACTTCTTTCTTTCCTTTTTAATGATGCACACTGCATGTTTGTAAGAGCAACTTCAGTTCACTCGTTGATACTCGTTTTAGAACTACACGTTCTAATTTTTTCCTAGACCATGCTCTTTCTTGCCTGCTCTCCACTATCTTTAAACTTCTGCACATCAGAAGGCCTGCACGCCTGCTTGTGGTTTTGCACCATCTGGAAGTTCAAGTTTGACTTTAGAAATGATGTCATACTTGCTTACTGCAAGCTGAGCTAATGTTGGTTGAGAATTGGATGCAGTTCAGGTCAGTTTTTTATTTAAAAAAAAAAAAAACAAGCCTCAAGTTTTTTTGTCTTGATTCTAGGAGACTTTACAGATATAGTGAAGGTGATTGAAGGACATGATCCAAATTCCTTTGAAGTTAAGTTCATGCTTATGGCTCATGGAAAATAAACTCCCAAACAGAAGACCTCAGCTGGCAAAGGCATCTCCCTGCCATGTTGAGTTTGGGTGTTGTGAGTAGTATGTTGATCACAGCCATCTTTGCTCTCTGTGTTAGTCCAGGAAAAATAGTCTCATAGCAGGGCTTGCTTTTTATCTCTTCTGGGCTCAGGATGGTTCAGCAGGGTACTGCCAGATCACAGGTGGTGAGAAAGTGCCCTAAATGTTGTTGGTATTTTTGATGATTGTGAAGCTGCTTCTTCCAAATGCTTGCTCCCCACTTCTATTCTCAGTCTTGCTGATTGGGGTTCACTTCTGTCACAGTTTGATGGTGGACATGTCCCTTTGGTCCACATATATAGCATCCTTTTGATAGCTAGGATGCAGGCCTAACCCAGCCAGTCCAACATTTCTTCTCTGAATCCCATCAAATGAGTCCATGTGAAAATCCCTATTATTGCTGAAAACTGATTGAAATTCCAAATTTAAGTATGTTGGCATATAAATTATAAATTATAAAACTATATAGTTTGTTTAGTTTTGATTACTCTTTGCATTATGTGTCTGCTCTTTTAATATGTAGAACAAATGTTTCTTTCCTAAGGAATCATATACAAGACTTTACAACGTGAAGTGAAAAGAAGAATACAGCTCCATGTCTGTCATCTCTTAGTACTTTTCCCATTTCCTCCTAACTGCCAAACCTACTGTCCCTTCTTCAGGAAACACAGAATGAAATGGCCACGCCCATTTCATGTCAAACAATGCACATTCACTCAGGACTTCTCTTTACACATTCACTCACAGCTTCCTCTGCACTACCTTTTAATATTATTTCATTGGGGAATTGATTAAGCCTTATGGAGTGACAGTGTGGCTGTTTGAATGAGAATGGTCCCCATAGGCTCATATATTTGAATGTTTGGTTTCCAGTTGATTTTGAACTATTAAGAGGTGTGTTCTTTTATGGGGAGGGATATCTTTGTTTGAAAAAGTGTGTCACTTGACATGAACTTTTGAAACCTCAAAAGCCTACACCAGGCACCCACCATGTGCCTGGGAATCAGGATGTTGTACTCCCAGCTACTGCTCCAGCTCCATGCATGTCTGCTTCCCACCATGATTATAATGGACTAACCCCTTTGAGACTGTAAGCAAATCTCCAGTCAAATGATTCCTTTAATAAGGGTTGTGTTGGTCATAGTGTCTCCTCACAGCAATAGAACAGTATCCAGATGCCATCAGTGATGTCTGTTGAAATGGTAGTACAATAATGTTAGCAAAGATTTATAGGTTTGTTTTTTTAACATCCAATTTAGAAAACAAATGCCTTGGAAGTAATGTATTAAATATCATTGTTCAGCAAAGAATCTTCTTGGAAAGCTTGTAGATGGTTACTAATAATTATTAGAGACAATAAGCCTTCGTATAATATGTCACAGTTGCTCATAGAAACTGGTATACTATTCATTTGTAAACATGAGTGAGAGTGTGATGTAAATTGATAAGGAGAATTTAAAAAGACAAAATTTTCAATGGTTTTCATATTATTGTATTCTCTTATTTTTGATACTTCAGTGACTTCTTCTATAATCGGATCTGATAGTGGAGTATAGAAGTAAAACTTACTTTGTTCATGGTATCCAGAATGTTAGAATACACAAAAGGCTGCATCTGGGGAGATGGCTCAGTTAGTAAGACACATGCCATGCAAGCATAAGGACCTGAGTTTGGACCCCCAGCACACAGAGAAAAGCCAGATGTGACAGCATGCATCTGTAATCCCAGGAGGAGCCTGAGGCTTGTTGGTCCATCAATACAACTGAAATAACCAAATTGGTGAGCCGTGGGTTTAGTAAGATATCATGACTGGAAAAAGAATAATAAACCAGGGTGGGAAACAGTTAAAAATGTCACCTCTAATCACCTCATGGCCTCCATGTGCTTGAACACACATGTGCACATGCATCCTCATATACATGTGTACATAATCATACACAAGTAAGAATTCATAAACCTTATGGGTTTTTTCTTTAACTAGTAACATTTGAAAAATGGGAGTTTTGATTTTCTAATGTTTGATTTCAGATAGAAATTAGGAATTCTTTGGTGCTCTTTGCTGTTTTTAAAAAGTGCCTGGAAAGCAATCATCATCCACCTTGAGAATGGCTGTTTTGTTCCCATATCTTTCCTTGCCCAGGCAGCACAACTTCCTCATGGCCCCATGCATTTTTCTAATTTAGCAGTTTCTCTACGTGTCTATCTTCATCCAGATGAACGTGTCTACGTTCATCCAGATGCTCTCTGTGTTCTCAGTGTTCTTGGAAGATCCTGCAAAGCATGAGCAATGTTTCTCCTCCCAGGCACCTCCTGTGTGCCCTGTTCACTACCCTAAGCAAACACATTGTTTCCCATAAGTAGGGAAACAAACATGGGGACATGCTAGTATTTTGCAATGCCTTATTTCATGAAAACTATAGATTTTTTTTTTATAAAAAGTATTACTGTTCAGCTATTTGCACAACAGGATATCTTGGTAGATTGTAGGCTGTTAAAACGCCCTGAGGTGACTTAAAAAAGATTTATTTATTCTTATTTTATGCTTGTGGATGTTTTGCCTACATGTATGTCTGTGCACCATGTGTGTCCACAGTTGCCAGAGGAGGGTGTTGGATCCCTTGGAGTTAGAGATGGTTGTTAAGCACTGTGTGGGTACCAGAATTGAACCCAGGTCATCTGAAAGAACAGCCAGCCTGTGCTCATATCTGTTGACCCCTTCTCTACCCCCAACAAGGTGTCTTTGAACAGAGAGTTAATGAAGCTGTGCTCAGGTGCTGCCTGCTGTCACCTCTACTCCTGGACAACACTGACTATTGACAGCACCTTTGTAAAACAAAAACCTTCCTTTTTTTGTCCGCACTGCAGGTAGATGCGCTGAGATTACGGCTGGAAGAGAAAGAATCTTTTCTCAATAAGAAAACAAAACAGCTGCAAGACCTCACAGAAGAGAAGGGGACCCTAGCTGGAGAGATCCGTGATATGAAAGACATGTTAGAAGTAAAGGAAAGAAAAATCAATGTTCTTCAGAAAAAAGTAAGTTGCTGATATAAACCCTTCAAGATAGGAGTTGTGATCATACATATTTGACATTTCAGAGAGATTTGGGGTTATGGAAGATAAAGTATCTTTTTAAAATTTAGATTAGGATGTATTAAGTTTTATTTACTGATATTTAATTTACTAATAGTTGAGCTGGGTCATTTTTAGCATGACCTATGTATTTTCTATTTGATTACCCAAGAACTAAATGGAGATTTTTTTTCAAATTTGCAATAGAAAGCAATGAGGAATTATTACCAATTTGTATTTACATACATTTATTTTATATGTTTATAATACTTATATTTAATATATTTAATTTATATTTATATACAAATTTAAGCCTATGGGGGTAAGAGTTGAGGTTGCAGGTCAGTGGGAAGAGCGTGTGCTTAGCAAGTGCTGGGCCCTAAGTTCAGTCTCTAGCAATGGGAAGACAAATAGATGAGAAATAAAAATCCCTAAGTGATGATTTTAATGTTTTTCATTATGAACATTGACTGGTATATTTAGGGATTGTGTCTTAAGATGGACCTTTGATGTACTTTATAGTTAGATAAACTTTGATTATATCTTGTTGTCTCTATCCATTCCTTGTGCTATAACAAACTGCCTGAGACTGAGTGTTTTCTATGGAGTAGACATTTAGTTTTTCACAGTTCTAGACACTAGAAAGCCCTGGATCCAAGTGTATGTGGTTTGGTGTCTGAGAAAGGTCTTCTTTTTGCTTCCAAGATGGTACCTTATCATTATACCCTCCTCCAGGATAAGTGCTTTACTCATGAATGATGACAGAAAGCTAAAAAGGTAGAACTAGTTCCCATTGCCCTTTCATAAGGTTGTTATCCCATACAGAAGGTCATGGTTCTCATGACAATGATTTCCTAAAGACTCCACCTATTAATATAATCACATTGGTGATTATATTTTCACATACATAAGTTGGGTGTCACACCCAGCCCATAGCAATAGCTAAATTCATGTGAACTATTTTGGGGGTGGTAGGGTCACTTCTTGTGTAAATGTTTCATTTTTACGTAGTTGGGATCAGTGGAGAGAATGTACAAGGATGTACAGTAATGCAGGAAGATATTCAGCCTCATTAGGGTCCCTCTTTTCTTCTTTCTTTAAGTTGTCCACTTTACTCCCTATTGGGGATTCTGATTTTGTGACATCACCGTATTTCCATTGTCTGTTTTATACAGTTTTTTGATACCCAGCATTTTCCTCATTGTTATTATTATTGTTAAAAGATCAACAAGAATATTCATAACCCTGATCTCCTATGAAAATAAAAATGATAGAAATATATAGCACTTTATGAATCATGGGTAGCTATTATGGAAACTGTGATCAGCAGGAAGCTGGCTGACCAGGAAGTCACTGTAGACAGCATGGTCCTGTGATACTACTGATATAGGCACACAGGAGTAACTGGCTCCTCCTTTGGTGTCATTTGTCACCATCTCTCACCTGGATCTTGTCATCAGTGCCCTAGATGATTTCTTATGTTTACATTTGTGGTTCCTACACTGTGTTATTAACATGGAAACTAGAACATTTTTTTAGATCCCAAAAGAATTTAAGTCACTCTTTAATCAGAACTTTCCCATTTCAACCAGCTATATAATTTATAGGTCTCAATATAAATGAAAATGTGGAGCCTTTTGCTCCCAAATTAAGAATGTTAGGATAGTAATAGTGGATCATTAAGTCAAGGATGGGGCCTAGAACAGATCTCAAGTCTATGACACTGCCCCATCCAAGTGGCTTCAACTTTCACTGATACTAATGGGTAGAAGTTTTTACAAAGGTCATAGAACCATACATAATTTGACTCCCAACCTCCTATCCTCCTATGCTCATGTCATATCAGTAACTAAGGCTATGTATTCTTCAGAGACATACATGCTTTCTCATAGTCCTGAAATTTTATGGTACTTCAACCTTTATAGGGCACTAGCTCTAGACACATGGTGGAGCTATCAGTTGTTAAGCTCTTCAGTTGAAATGTGTTGTAAAAGTGACAACCATACTATATTTTAAAGGTCTATCATGAAAAGTAGAATGTTGAGAGCACAAAACAGTAATTTCTATATTATTTATATGAAATGCTTTGGGTGTATCAGTGACATAAAATATATTGCTAAAATTAATTATTGTTTCTTACTGTCTACTGAGGCTATTAGGAAGTGTAAAATTATATATGTGAATCTCATTGTATTTGTACCAGATAGAAAAGCTGTAAATACCCTTTACATATACATATATAGCTCATGTCTTTGTGTCTTGAGAGTCTTTGCTCAAAATGAAGACCTAGACTTTGGCTCCTCCCATATAAAATAGGATGTGTATACTCCAACCCTCTGGTTTACTTTTCTAATATAATTTATTACTATCCAGAAAATATATACATTTAAAAGCTTCCCATTGGTATTTTCAGAATATAGATTCTAGGATGTAAGGCTTTATTGTTTTTTCACGGCTGTATCATTTAGCATATAGTAGGTATATTTGTGCAATAAACATTTAGCAAATGAGTGAATGAACTTACTTTAGAGCTAAAATACTGAACAGGAGCATTTATTTAGTTAAGGGTAGGGTCTACTATTATTGCCTGTGGTAAGGAAAACCTCTGCCTACTATATTGACTCTAGAATGAGCTGTACAAAGATGACTAACACAGTTGACACTCACTTGTTTCTGTAGATAGATGGTGATAAGATTATCAATGAATTCGTAGGGTCTAGACCCCTTACTTGCTTATTCTTCTGGCACACTATAAATGAATTCTCTAGTCTTTCCTCTTAGAGAACAGGAAGATCTTTTCCCAATGTATCCCTGTCCTATGATGGTTGACTAGAAACATATGTAGTATTCTGGTTTTCATTTCACAAACAAATCAAAGTTATATTAAATCATTGATACTTTACCAAAGACTTAAAAAGCTTTTGTCTACAGCTCTCGGCATGCATAATGGTTATTTGATTTATTGTATTGCTAATTCATGTCTATTAAGGTATTTATGGACAAGGACTTGTTCAGGGGATCCCCATCTTGAAGCACTAGGTAATTAATAAAGATGATTAGAAGAGACCTGGGCAGAGACAACTAAGCACCCTTGAAGGTAGATGGTGGCTGTCCAGGGTAGGTGGCACTGTTACAGCAGCAGGAGTGAGAGTGTGTTCTAAGGACTCAAAAGAAGATTGTGTTAATTTCCACTGCTGTGACAAATTTCCTCAAAAAAAAAAATCAAGCCAAGGGAGGAAAGATTGACAGTGGCTCATAGTTTCATAGAATTCTTTCCATGGTTGCCTGATTCTGCTGCTTGGGTCTTGAAGTCAAGCTGAACATCATGGTGAGTGTGCCAGCCAAAGCTACTCGTCTCACAACTCATAAATGAAGTGAGTGAGGAAGTGGACAGCAACTAGTAGACCCTTCTAGCACTGGTCCACAGTGACCTACTTTCTCCAGCCAGGCTTCACTTCCTTATGTTTCCACCATTTTCCCAAACACAATCAGTTAGGTCCTGGGCCTTTATTTAGCACATGACCTCTGGGAACATTGTAGACCTGATCCATGAAATAAAGATTTAAATCTTCAGCATCGAATGAAAATAAAGCTGACATCTGCTGAATGTGTGTGCACTGAATACTGAGTGTTGGCTTCTTTGTCACATGAACTCAACAGCTGATTTTGACTATAACCTGACAGCCTAGTTCTGAGATTTACCTCAAAGAACTAAGGAAGGTTTTTGGTTTGTGATAAGGTTGCCCATGATCATGTGACCTAGGTACAAAGTTTTATTTCTTTTTATGTTGGAGAGTTGGATGATGTAAATTGACTTTAATTTCTTCTGACCTTACTTTGTGTAGTGATGGCACCAGGTGGAAGAGTGGGATGAGGAGGAAGATCTCAGTTCCTCATCTGCCAGGAGGGGAGACTACATGTTTGCATTCTTGAGTAGCAAGTGGCAATAGTTGTTAGGAAGAATTTCAGGGGACACTTCTAATATCTAGGTAACACATAATCACTTTAACTGATGTACATATCTTGTAGAACTTTAAACTTCTCCATAACATCCAAAAGCAAAGGTTTTAGTACATGTTTGGAAGTTATAAAGTTGAGAACAATACTATTTATGTACTATATATTCCTTAGGCAAAAATGTTTAAATCATGAACTTATTGGATTTGGAAATTTGAAGGGGTTTATCAGATCCACATTATTTTTTCTTTTTACCTCTTTATTTTTGAATTTTTATGTGTCATATGTATATACATGTTCACATGTGTCTGAAGGTGTATATACATGTGTGCTCATGTTTGCACACATGTGTGTGGAGGTGAAAGAACGACATCAACCATCTCCTTTGATGGATCTCCACCTTATATGGAAACAGGGCCTCTCACTCTAGCTCAACATTCTCTAGTCTGGCTAGCCTGTGTGTTTCAGGGATTCCCTGTCTTTTCTCCTGTGCTCTTGGATGGCAGCTGGGCTGCCACACCTTTGTGGCTTTTGCCTAAGTTCTCTGTCATATGTGGTTTCTGAGGATCCAGACTCTGGTCCTCATGCTTTTGCAGCAAGTACATTGTCTACTAAGACACATTCCTAGCCCATGTTTCTCTTTAAGCGTTTACCAATACATTTGGAGGAGCAATGAAACCACTGCAGTATAGTGAAGGGGCATGATCTGTTATAAGTTCATAATGATGGAGAAGTTACCTACAAAGAAGTGATACACACAATTTAGAACCTGATTCAGACCTGGGAAAACTTACGATAGGTAAATCGCCCACATAGAGGGCAGAGGTGAACATGAAGTTCTACCCCTAGCTAAAGAGATATTGATATTGATAACTTCTTGGAGAGGGAGGGTTAATTTCCATTAGGGTGTAGTCCCTAGTGGGTCTCTCACCCTCTAGTGAATGGCCACATCTTCAAGAGTGCATAAGCAAGACTAATTGGAATTGAAGGATTAAAAAAAAAAAAAA